CTCTCTTTCATTTGTTTTAAATTCTTCGTCAAACATCGAAGATGCATGGCTAACATGGTTGTATCACACGGGAATTGAAAAAGTGAATAAGTGATAAAAGAACTGCTTTTGAAGTTTTGAATTTTATAGATAGTCTGTTGAAATTTGTTGTTCATGTGTTAGTTCCAAAGGACAGTGCATGGGATCTTTTGTGCAAGCAATCTTGCACTGAGAATTTTTGATGATACGAAATTTATGTTACCTTCGTTTTTCACAATTATTGTCAGCTTGCAAGTGCATGCTATGTGGCGCGGATAGATCTTTCTGCACATGGGTTTTACATTACACCTGAAATTGACTTTGATTGGACGACTGGTAAAGGGAACCCGTTCAGATACTTCACTTATGGGGCTGCTTTTGCTGAGGTTGAAGTTGACACATTGACTGGAGATTTTCACACTAGGGTGGCAAACATATTCTTGGATCTTGGATACTCTCTCAACCCAGCAATCGATGTTGGGCAGGTGCTTTTCTCCCCTTTTCCTTACCAGTTTCGTTAAAATGTCAAAATCTTTTACTTATCAATAAACGTCCGTGAAAAATATGGGAATTTTAACCCTATCTCAAGCTACATGTAGTGAACCTCATTCTTGAGGATTTTTTGTTGTAACTTGCAACAGAATCATCTTTATAAAAAGAAAACTACATTCACTCTCAAGTTACCATTAAGTAAGCCCATTTTTTGGAATGTTTGTTGCAACAGGATTATAAGAATAACTTTCCTAGAAAGTAAGATATACTACAGAAACAGACTCAAGCATTGACGTAAATAGGGTTAGAACTTCTAGTGGGGCCTACAATGATCCCATTTCTTGTGAGAAAATGGAGATAATTTAAGAACCTAACGGAGATTTAATTTTTATTTCTGGCCGAATGATGAAATGTCCATGCAACATGCTTGTATGAGCTGCTACTGATATTAGTTGGTAAACTATTCATGATATTGCTGTTGTCATCTAAACTAATGAACATGCTAACAAATTCCTGATCTAGTTTGTGAATGTCAATCTTGCTGTTGTTCAGTGTTGTTTTATAAAATTGGGGAAGGGATGGTTGAATAAGGTGGTATATTTCATTTCGATTGCAATAACTAATAATCTAGAGTAGTTGTTCCTTTTAATGTTCTTATCAATTATGCTATGCTTCTAATGCAGATCGAAGGAGCCTTTATACAAGGTTTGGGATGGGTAGCTCTAGAAGAACTTAAGTGGGGTGATTCTGCTCATAAGTGGATCTCACCAGGTTGCCTCTACACATGTGGACCTGGAAATTACAAAATTCCTTCCATAAATGATGTCCCCTTCAAATTTAGCGTTTCACTTCTGAAGGTATGCTTATTACCCAGTAAGGGCATTTATAAATTATAAATTTCTTCTGAAAGTTAATTTGTCTGATCAAGTTATGGGTGGGATTCAGTATATCTGTCTTAACATGTCATCTGACAACTTCTTTTCTACTGAAAAGCATTAATTAAAACTAAAGGCAACTTGTAATTTACCAGACTATGTGCTTGATACAAGATGGTGTCGGGAATTTTTGTCTGTGGTGTCCGTAAAGAAATGGTTTGGGGTTGATTAAATATATTGTGAGAAAATGGGGCTTAATGTGGTTGGTTGATTAATTATTATGGAGAAATCCTTGAACCAAATAGAAGTGCATAATTGTGCAGGGCGGCAAAAAAAAGAAAGGAAAATGAAGGAGAAAGAAAAGAGAACACATGAATTTAGGGAAATTATTTAGCTCTCTCAAAAGCTTCTATTTAGATTGGCTGATTACTTTTCTGTTAGGATAGCTGCTGTTATGTTATTTGTTGTGCTCTCGATATTATGTTTCTTGTAGTTAGAGGGTGAGGACTCCCGATCCACTTTGATTGTACTTCCCAATTTTAATATATCCATTGTGTATCCTATCCCAAAATTAAAAATTATCAAACCTGGATGGAAGCTGTTTAGGATTTCATTTATTAGAACATCAAACCTCCCTCCCCCTCCCTATCTGTTTTTATTTTTTCGATTCTACGTTATGCCATACAGTTTAAAAACAGGTTACCCAACATTTTTTCGAGGGCTAAGTTATGCTGTAATTCTTTAATTTACATTTATAATTATAGAAATTGAATTTACTTGGCTTTAATGATTGATTTCAACCTAAAGCAAGTAACCGTCTTGACTTGTTTGACGTTTTTTTTGCTAATTGACAGGGACATCCAAATGTGAAGGCAATCCACTCATCCAAAGCAGTTGGTGAGCCACCATTTTTCTTGGCTTCAGCTGTCTTTTTTGCCATCAAAGATGCAATCATAGCTGCGAGAGCGGAAGTAGGGTCTAAGGAGTGGTTTCCACTAGATAATCCAGCGACGCCTGAAAGAATACGGATGGCTTGTTTGGATGAAATTACTGCAGGAATTATTAGCTCAGACTTCCGCGCCAAGCTTAGTATTTGATTGTTAGTTTCTCTTTTCCTGTATTTAGCATACACCACTGGTATATACTACTTTTCTGTTTTCCCGTATTTAGCATACACCACGGGTATATACCACTGTACAGACTACCAGACTCTATATTCTCTAACCAACCAATTACAAGATATGCATGTAATATGTGTAAATCAGAAGTATTATGATGATTAAAAGATTATAATAAAAAGCAATAATTGTGAATAGTTTTGTATTATGGTGACATTATTTGGTATCAGGAAACCTTCGGTTTACTATCCTTCTCTCATTGTTATTATTATCATCACCATCTCTTCAATAGAATTGGTCGTTTTCATTCTCTTTTTTCTAAGGAGTCAATATTTTTATTTTATTTTTTTTGAGAATGAGGAGGAGACGGTATTCAAGAATCTAGTAGGTAATTGACGTAACATAATTTGGAATGCATGAATTTTTCAAATTAGTCGCCAGTGGCGTTTCTTTTGTTTGTTTTTGTTTTCCTTCTGAAGCATTAGGAAATGAGAAATTCTGTCTTTTTGGATCTTTAGGGTGTGAATGTAATGAAAAGTCTTTTCATCTTGTGTAAAATTTTTGCCTAGGTGAGTCGCTCTCTCACACATGCATTAACAGTTATAAATTGCCCATGTGTGCATACACTTTACATGCATAAACGGTTCCCATGTACGTATAGACGACTCACCTCTATACTTTGCTTCTTCCGCATTTCTCTTCGTGCATTCCATTATCCGTATCACAAGCAAGCAAGAGACAGCCGTGGTGATGAACAAGTCCCAGATGCAGTGCAGGCTGCAACTGCGGGGTAATTTAAAAACAATAATCATAAGCGAGTAATAAACCGAGTTGTCATATCATGCAAGACATTTCCTAATGAACATGGCATGACATAACATTTGCAGTTGAACTTATATTTTAATTCTTTCTTTAATATATAACCAATACATGACCTTATCTTCTTCACCAACAAAAACAAAAACTTCCTTATCTTGATGTATTGCCAATTTATTTCATTTTTTGTGAATTTGGCACGATGGTTCTACAGAAAGCCTTTTTAGTAATTTCCTACTTTTAGTTTCTTTTTTGCTCTCTTTAACTAATTCTTGTAGCTCCCTATATTTGGAGAGGGCCCAATTGTAGTAATTTTTCTTTTGTCATTCGAAAAACATAAATTTGCTTTCGTTTGAATCCAAAGTTCATGCTTTTTTTGCCTTCATCCATATGAAGAGTGTTTTTGAAACAGTCTATTGGCTAGAAATTATTTTGATGTATTTTCCTCATATTCCATATTTTGCCTTCTAGATGCAAATGTAAAACCATGTTTGCTCAATTCATAAACTTTTGGGGAAAAAAAGTCCATGAACTTGAATAAAGAAACAACAAATTTAGTTTTATAATTTGGAAACACATAGCTTCGATAGTGTGCCAAAAGATGCAAACTTGCTAACGGGGTCTAGTACAGTGGAAAAGGGCCTTGACTTACAGACGAGTGGTCTCAAATTCAATCCCCCATGACACCTTTGTAGTGGTCTCAAATTTTGGAAAGGCTTAGTAGAATATTCGTATTGGATTTTAGCTCCATAAAAATGCTTGGACTCGGCCTTTTGTAGGTTGTATAGGATTTTAGGTTGGACAGTTTCATGAGTAATGTGTTTATACATTATGACTCAAGAAAGCTTTTTTTAATAGTTTAGTACAAATTCCTTACATGTTAGTACTTTTTCCTGATAATGCATTTCATTTTCATATGATGCCAATTGTAGAAAAACACAAGTCATATTAAAAAAAAGAAGAAAAATAAATAAACAAACAAAGGGAGCAAATTGACTTTATACATCTGTGACAGGGAAAGCTGAACCTAATCACTCGGTTAATCTACACAAACCATTAAACAAACAGGAAAACGTTAAACTGAAACTTTATTGGCAATTTGCAGGGAAGCCTTCATCATATTAGTGCTGGCTGGAAAATTCTGGTGAGAAAATATGCAGGCATTTGTTATTTTTTGCCAATGAGCTTATTGGCTGTTAGACTTCAGTGACAATGATTTGCTAGAAAATATGCAGTGCAGGTATGTATAAGTAAATTTGCAAGACTACTTCAGAATCAGATTGCTGATGAAACTGATTTATATTTTAACATCAACCAAAGTTGATACGTTCTAAATTCCGTCCGAAGGTTCCTAAAATGAACCTAATCTCAACTACTTCCTCATACAAATTCATAATTATTTATACATTCACGATTTATTTGTCAATCAGTGTGATTGTTTTATGTATTTTATAAGTTTTCTCAGTACTGCAACACGTTTTGCATTATTTGATCTAGACCGTTTCAAGGTGCATATGCTTGAAGACTATTGTGCAAGGCTAGAAGGCAAGTGGTATACCATTATCCAATTGTTTAATATTTGGACAAAGAAATGAGAAAATCTGCAGGATTTTGTGTGATTGGTTTGATAGAGGATTTTGTGTTTTGAAGGGATCGCTATATAAGCTGCGAACTTCTCCTCAGTTATCATTCACAAATAACCCTTTGATCTCAGTGATTAAGAGTTTGCTCAAAATGGCCAATCTTTGGCCAAGCCTGGTTTTTGCCTTGGCTATATGCTTCATAGCCACCAATGTAGCAGCTAGTGATGACAAGCCTTATGCTTATTCATCTCCTCCACCACCAGATTACTACAAGTCATCCCCGCCATGGTATCACCACCACAAAACTCCACCGTATCACTACAAATCACCACCACCACCTTCACCATCACCTCCTCCTCCATATGTTTACAAGTCACCTCCACCTCCCTCTCCATCACCACCCCCTCCTTACATTTATAAGTCCCCTCCTCCACCATCTCCATCACCTCCCCCTCCTTACGTCTACAAGTCACCGCCACCTCCTTCTCCATCACCACCCCCTCCTTACATTTATAAATCACCACCACCACCCTCACCATCACCTCCACCACCATACATGTACAAGTCACCACCACCTCCATCTCCTTCACCTCCTCCACCTTATGTCTACAAGTCACCACCACCACCTTCACCATCTCCACCTCCTCGTTACGTTTACAAATCACCACCACCACCCTCACCATCTCCTCCTCCACCATACATTTACAAGTCACCACCTCCTCCATCTCCATCACCCCCACCTCCCTATGTTTACAAATCACCACCACCCCCATCTCCATCACCTCCCCCTCCTTATGTCTACAAGTCACCACCACCACCTTCTCCATCCCCACCTCCTCCTTACATTTATAAATCACCACCACCACCCTCACCATCACCTCCCCCACCATATATTTACAAGTCACCTCCTCCTCCTTCCCCATCCCCCCCCCCTCCTTACATTTATAAATCACCACCACCACCCTCACCATCACCTCCCCCACCATATATTTACAAGTCACCTCCTCCTCCTTCCCCATCCCCCCCCCCTCCTTACATTTATAAATCACCACCACCACCCTCACCATCACCTCCCCCACCATATATTTACAAGTCACCTCCTCCTCCTTCCCCATCCCCCCCCCCTCCTTACATTTATAAATCACCACCACCACCCTCACCATCACCTCCCCCACCATATATTTACAAGTCACCTCCTCCTCCTTCCCCATCCCCCCCCCCTCCTTACATTTATAAATCACCACCACCACCCTCACCATCACCTCCCCCACCATATATTTACAAGTCACCTCCTCCTCCTTCCCCATCCCCACCCCCTCCTTACATTTATAAATCACCACCACCTCCCTCACCGTCACCTCCTCCACCATATGTGTACAAGTCACCTCCTCCTCCATCACCATCACCTCCTCCACCTTACATCTACAAGTCACCACCACCACCATCTCCATCACCTCCTCCTCCGTACGTATATAAATCACCACCCCCACCTTCTCCATCACCCCCACCTCCATACGTTTACAAGTCACCACCACCCCCATCTCCATCACCACCTCCTCCATATGTTTACAAGTCACCACCACCACCATCTCCATCACCACCACCTCCATATGTTTACAAGTCACCACCACCTCCATCCCCATCCCCACCTCCTCCTTATGTCTACAAGTCACCGCCTCCACCATCTCCTTCACCTCCCAAACCTTATGATTACGCGTCTCCTCCACCACCCACTCCTTACTAAACAAGTTGAATTTCTCTTCTCTTCATGTAAGGGTGTGACCTAATTAGAAGTTTATGCATACATTTCTCTAACTCCTATTCCTAGAAATCATGTTTATTGAACTTTTAACTGTTCATTTTTTTAAATTGTGAATATTGTTTCGCATTGCAGGTTATAGATTGGTAAAACAAATCATTGCTGCAAGAGAGAGTTTTATCCTGGTGGCTTCTATGAATCTGATCAAAATGCGCCCTGAAAACTGCTTGAGATTAAGAGGCTTAGCATGGACGTTGTCTTAGCAGCTTTCATGCAACTTATTATATGGTTTAATTATTTAATTTTGTTGTCATACTCATACACGAGATATGTTACTTGTGATTTCTTTATGTGGGCCATTTTTGGTTACATACGCTGAAATTTGTTGTATCAATTGAATAAACATCTGTTCATTCAGTATAATTTATTAAAGCCTTGAAGATCCTGAAATTAATAAATTGGAGCATGGAATAAACATCTGTTCATTTCAGCTCTCTCTCTCTCTCTCTCTCTCTCTCACTCTCTCTCTCCATAAATAAATAAATAAATAAATATGTCTAATAAGTAAATTTACAATTGTCCTCGACGACTTTTCATTTTCTGAAAATGTTGCATAATAAGATCATTATTAATATTATTAAATATGTCTTTTTCAAGATATACTACCAAGCAACCATTCATCCATTGGTCTCCCATTCGATTACGCATCCTGTTAATATTCATAGTAGAGAATTCCATTTCTACTAAAGCTATTGCAACTGGAAGTGTTAATGCCAATTTTATGAGAAGATAAACTAGTGGATATGCCTTGTCCTTTTTTGTCTCAACTAGTTTTTTTTTTTGCAAGAGTAGCAATACCTTGTAATCCTGAAAAGTTGGTGTTGGAATGCATATCATCAATATAAGTTTGAAGTTGATCTTTAAGTAGAGGTGTCAAACGGGCCGTGCCGGGCCGACCAATTTAATTTATCGGGCTGTACTGTGCCGGCCCATTTAGTAAAATCATTGATCCCTGCCCGGCCCAAAACCCATGTCCACATTGAAACGGGTCGGGCCATGCTCGTACTGTGCCCGTGCTCGTGCCATACTCCGGCCCAAGAACCAACCCATTTAATTTAAAGTTTTTTCACTTGATTTTTTTTTTTTCACTTGATAATTCAAATTATAAACATTAAAAATATAATTAGAGGCAAGAAATGATGAATTATTTGAAAACATTAATGAATCAAACATCCAAACAATATAAAAGGCGGAGGGCAAAAAGTGTACAACTCCACAAAGTCCACTTCAACTTTCATATTTAAACAACTTATTATTTTATATGTGAAGAAATGTCTTGCTTTGATTATAAGAGAAGCGTATATGTCATATGTACTGATTAGATATCAAGTCCAATGTTGTTAAATTAATTTTTAGTTGATATGTTTAATTAATTAAGGATCCAAGAAATTTCCCTAAAATGAAAGACATCAAATATATGTTTATGATTATAAAAAATAAAAAAACCATATAAACAATGATATTATATGTCAAATTTTTGCATTTTGACATTTGAGAAAGAAAAAAAAAGTTAAGTGGGCCGTGCTTGAAGCGGGCTCGGGCCAAGCCTAGCCCATGTCGGGCCGTGGGCTGGCCCGGTCCATTGGACCTCATTTTTGATCCCGGCCCGGCCTAAGTTTTTGTACCGTGCCGAGCACGGCCCATTACTATTCGTGCTCGTGCCGTGCCGTGCCTCACTTAAACGGGCTGGGCTCGTGCTGTGTTGGACCGGCCCGTCCCGTTTGACACCTTTATCTTTAAGTACCTTAAGTTCTTCTGTAGAAAAATCATTCGGGTAAAGTTGAGCAAACTGAATGAGCTTTTGCTTGTCAAAAGAAGAAAATGAATCATTTGGACTAAAGCATGCCAAGCAAAGTAACAACTCAGTGTTGGCCTCATTGAAACAAATGTTCGGATTGTAATCTAAAATCCGAGTTCGTAAACCAGGATCAGAATGAAGATTTGACATATTGATTTTTATGCGACTTTGTTTTGAACTGTCATCACTTCTCCCAATAGGTCTTGACAACTCCAACTCGTATTTTCTTTTAAAATATTTTTCCATAATTGTCATAAATATAGTTTATATTATTTTTCATCAAGATATATATATATATATATATAATCAATCATCAGTACAAATTAAATGCATATAAATAAGAATATAATGAAATTAGTTTGTAAAAAGCAACTAAGTATTAACCTGTAAAATAACGAGTTTGGCAGCTGAGTTCTCCACATAATTACAGAATGAGTGAATTTGGTAGGACCTCTATTCCTTTTATTTTTTTTAACATAGGGTTTAGGATTTTCTTTTTTAATATAAACTTTGAGCTTAAAGTGTATGTATTGAATGAGCCATGTGGGGGCTCCACTTAAGGACCTAAAAATAATTAAAAATTGTGAATTTGGGTGGGATTATACAGTTGAAGCTTTTTTGTAAGTGTGGGAAGCTGGGGTTGAAGCTTTTTGTTAAGTGTGGGCAGCTGGCCACAATTGTCTTTGATTAGGTCTGCTATTGTATATATATAGTCCTCTATTGAGGGATTCTTCAAATAATTTTTTTTGAGGAATGCCTTTAAGGGTACCTTGCAAATTTTTTTCCAATGAACCATATAAAATATAAATATTATATGGCCCTTCATAAGGGTATGCCGCTCCACTGTAGTTGGAGTGGGATGCTCGATATGTGTCTTCCATATTATTGATATTTTGTCAGTATGAATGTCGCCATGTTCTCCATATCAATCGCGCATGTTGTATAATATGTACGTCGATATGAATGGTGAAATGTTATCAATATACCGCTCCAGGTATGGTAGAGCGGAATCCAGACCCTTGTGTTTGATAACAGTAGATAAGCATCTAAATAGGGAGTCAATTTCTACCTAAGCATATTTAGCTTGTTCAAACTATAAAGTCTTGGGTTCTTCATTGACGTAGTAGCTGGAGGGTGAAGCGCGCTACGGTGGAGTTAGATAGTTGGTTGCTGGCTCCTTCCTGTATCCTTTTCTTTCTCTTTGGAACGGTGACCTTTAGATAGTTGGTTGCTGGCTCCTTCCTGTATCCTTTTCTTTCTCTTTGGAACGGTGACCTTCCTCGTGTTCGTCTTTCCATGACTTGATAGTTTTTAAGACAAATTACACATTCCGTTCTTACTCATGGTGTAACACCACTACCTATCACAATATGGCATGTGTTATACTTGTTAGGAGTGGCTATAAGGTCATAACTGGTACCTAGTGTAAGACCCTTGCAAGGCCCTCGAACCTTATAGACATGGCATTGCGCGAATGCCATGGAAAAGTGTGGCAGCGCAGCTTCACTTAGTGTGCGTGTATTGGACTTAGCTTGCACCTGGAGTGCAAGGCACTTGTCTCGACAACGACACATGGCAGATTACATGTGTTGAGTTTAGTGTGTGGCGTGCATAGAGTTCACCATGTGGCGAAGGCAATGCTTGGCAGATGGGGGGGATGTCAACCACGGCAGTTGGGGTTGTCAGCTACATTAGTTTTCTTTATTAAGTGCCTTAATGTAGACATGCCAAGGAAAAGAGGTAGGACAACAAAGCGTGTGCAGATGTACTAGTGTCTTTGCACGAGTTTTCCATGTCTTTGTGTAAGAAAAGATTTTGCCTTGTACAGATTGTTGTGCCTTGTGGTTGTGTGTGCTTGAGGATTGGCTGAGACTTTGCGTGGTGCATGCCATTACAAGGGTGTTTATTGAGCGAAAAATTACCCATGTAACACTAAGCACGATGTCATAGCCATCTAAAAATTTGTTTGGAGTTGTTTTTTTCACTAAAATTCAACTTCACTGTAAACTTAAGTAATTTAAAGTGTTCGGTAAAAATAGAACATCATGATCAATACCCCCTTGACAACAGCTAGTAGCCTCTAAGTTGTTTTTCAAAAGCTGCTTTCACAACAAGTCTTAAATGAATTTTGTACCTGTTAATTTTTAAACATGACATCCTCTCTACTTTTTCCTTGCGGTTCTCACCCACTCTCTCCCACCACCACCACCACTGTCTCCACCACCACCATAACCTTATCCACTACCACCACCACTACCCACCTCCACCTCCATCTCCACAACTACATCCATCACCTCCTTAAGGGAAAACTTGCTCTTAGGCATTTCTCAAATGAAATATAGGGCATTTTTATTAAATACAAAGAAGTGGAAGCGAAAGATTAAAACTAGAAGTCATACAATACTAAGAAAACCCCAAGTATCTTTTAGGCATATGAAATGTTGCACCATGACTCTCTAAATTTGCAAAATTCTATAGTGAGGATGCCATATATGGACCCCTTATGTGGACCTTCATATTAACCACAAGATCATTTTATTAAACTTAAGTGAAGTTACTATTCAGATGAATCATGTGGCTAATATGAAGGTTCACATCTATGTTCTATATATGGCACCCTTACCATAGAACAACTCCTCTAAATCATCTATAAAGAGAGGAGTTTAAGGTATAGTTACCCTTGGAGTGAATCTTGAAACCTAGGAAGGTGTTCAAGTAAAGCCTTTGATCTCTCTTTGCTTGGTCTCCACTATGATTCTCCAATAGATACAAAGATATGTACCTCACCAAAGCTCTTCACCAAGGATGGATAGAGAGAAGAGGAAGAGAACTTGAGAGAGCACAAGAGTGCTAGCAAATCCTCCCCCAAGTGGCCAAACAAGAAGGTGTTGAGAGAGAGGCTTGATGTTTCCTCTCTTCCAAATTTCCAACTTGAAAACCCCTAATGTCAGATGGTGCTTTAGCATCATATACATATATATATATATATATATATATATATATATATATATATATATATATATATATATATATACCTAGGGATCATCATTAGGCCCATGACTCTTGGGCCGAAGTGGGCCTGAGGCTTGATGAGCCAAAGCTCGGCCCGACCCGATGGTTAGGCCTGCTCGGCTCGACCTGCTTTAAGGTTGGGTAGGGCTTGAGCTTAGGATTTGAAACCCTCAGCCCACCCACGGTTCGGCCCGACTAGGCCTGCTTGTCTTTGCATTTCTTTTTTTAAGATTTAATTGATGCACTCCTTAACCTCATTTTATGCTTAATAAAAATAATGTAATATGTATGACAAACTACTAAACTTCTTGTTTTGTTCTCACATGTTATAAATTAAGTTAATTGTTTCAATGTTGTCTAAAATTTTGTAAGAAACAAGCAATATATACACTTTTTTTGTCAAGTTCAAATTTAATCGTTCAATAAAGAATTTGAAAGCTTTTTGGTTTTATTAATTCTAATGGCATAAATTGCATTAATTTTCATGATGTCAATCCTAGTTTGGGATATAAGTAACACATTTTCATAAGATTCATTTTTAGGTATAATATTT